CAGAAAAGTAGGTGAAGGAAGATGTCGGACAGTGTAAGATATGACAAAATAATGATTTATAAATTACCAAGGGTTCATGAGGGAGGGGGGAGCAGGAAGGGAGGGGAAAAATGAGAAGCTGATTCCAGGGGCTTAAGGGCAGAGGAAATGTTTTGAGAATGATGAGAGCAACGAATGTACAAATGTGCTTTATACAATTGATGTATGTATGGATTGTGATAAGAGTTGTATGAGCCCCTAATAAAATGATTTTAAAACAAGAAGAGTAAGCTAATGTAGCTTTGAAAGAAATTAAATAAATCAGCAAGGTTCTGTGCCCTAAACTACCCTAATATTTGAGTAATTGGTTCTAAAGTATCTTTGTAAACTCTAAACTCTCTGCCATTGAGTAGATTCCAGCTCACAGTAAACGTACAGGACAGGGTAGACCTTCCCCTCTTCAGGGGAGTGGCAGCTGGTTTTAAGCAGCTGATCTTGCAGTTTTAAGCCCAATGCATAACCACTACACTGCCAGGGCTCCCTTTTAGATTAGTGCTTTCATATGTGAGTTAACGTCATATGTTATTCTAAATAATGGGAGTATCTTTCATAATTATATGAACATTAGTGTATAATTATGAAATGTCAGCTAAATATGAAAGAGTTAATTTATAGCAGTCTGAACCATAGTAGATATTTATAAAATCTGGCTTTATCATGCTGACCCATAGTTTTCAAATTTAATTTTTTTTCCACTTGAAAGCACTTACTGTTTTATTTAGAGACCAGATTACGAAAATAATCATGGCAGATAGATACCTTAGTTCATCCTTCTAATACGTCTGTCAATCTGGTCTTCCCTGTTGCCTGCATCTCCACCTTCTACAAAATGGGTGCTCTTTTTCTTCATCCCACCTCATGGAGAAGATAATTTGAAGGGCCACAGGAAGTTATTTGCTTCTTTGAAACATTTCCCAACAGTCTAGATCTCATGAATCCGATCCTCCATGCAGATGATGCCATATTGACCAAGAGACCGTGCAATCAGAGTGTTATCTGTCAGGGCAATACGCTTCTTAATGGTTTTGCCATCCCCACGCTTGTAGATGAGTTCATTCACAGACTTCAGGTTGGGTACCTCCATGCAATGTATGGTTCCACAATCCTCAGCATGTTCATTGAAGCCTTGTTAAGCTTAACACAGGTGCCATTGAAAACCTGGGGAAGGCGAAGAAGCTATAACACTTTTCGAACCTCTGGGCTCACACCATTGATACCTCTGATCCTGATAACAAATGCCAGCTTGGGCTCTCCAGGCACACAGAAGCTGCCAGCTTTCCTTGCCATCCAAGCCATTCAGATTGCAGTTCTGTACATCTGCCTGTATTCCTTGTGATAGTGCTTAGCTTTCTCGAAGATCAGCTTCCTCCTTGCCTTTTGAAGCATCTTTTGGGCAAACTTCTTTCTTAGGCATTTGAGCTTTAGTTCTTGAAATTCCTTGGCTTTTTCTTAAGGGTCTCGGAACAGCAGGGACCTTCTTCTCCGCGACAGCCTCCGTGATTCCAGCCGGTGAAAAAAAAAGAGGCTCAAATTTAATTTTGGTCATTAAAAATACAATAATTTAAAACCATCTTTCATGATTTGGTAAGTTTGTTTGACATTCATGTTTAAAACAATAAATTTAAAATATTTAAAATTTGTACCCAACTTTCCTCACTCTCTTAATGTATTTTTATGAAGCACCTGTCATCCAGTCTATGTAAATATTACCAGAGTTGGTACAATCAAACAACTGTGGGAGTATTGAGTATTAGATACTAATTAAAACCAGGTTGAGAATAATGAATAAGGCACGGGTTTCCAAGTTTGGGGTTTTATTATAGATGTTAGGTTTTTAATAACATTAAAGATCAAGCTCACATGCGGCCTTTATGTGATATTCTTTGTAACTATTAACTAAATTATCTATCATTATGAATCCAGAATATCTTGTGAGTGAACACTCTATCTTTCACATTACTTTGACTATTTTAAATCCATGGTCTTATATAAGATATTAAAATGGTTTATCCTATTTAGTATTTTAACACTGGTCATAGTGACATTGTTTTAATTATTTTCATGTCAGCGTCTAGGCATGAAATTCAATGGATATTTTCAATAACTTTATAAAATATTATTGCAGTTTTTAATTATCCATCCCTCCCTTTCATCATTTTCTACCCATCTTTCCTTATTAAT